AATTACGTCATTGCATCTCGGTCTTTCCTTCTCTTTTGCCATGCTTATTGGAAGAGCGGTGGGGCTCAGAATCACGGTGGTTGTTCTTTTCAACACCGGTTAGTTCTATGAAAGTGGGGAACTTAAAAAACGAAGCTTTTCCCCCACAGTGCCAAGCAAACAGAACACTTGAAGGGCAGCTCCTTAAGGCTGAATCTTTAAGGCGGGTTAAGGAAGAGGGAGGGGAAAAACCTCTTGCAGGCAGCTTCGGGCTTGTAAATTCATCTCTCCACCCGCTTAAATTCATCTCTCCACCCATTAGACCCACTGAAGATCTCAGCTCTCTGCCTGTCGCCACAGCCTTCCTTCAAAAAAGAGAGAAACAGAAAACCAGGACTTTCCTGAGCATGGACAGAGTTCATTTTCTTGTACCAAGCAACTATATCCTGCTCCCACAGCTCAAGACAGTAAAATCCCTTTTTTTTTTTTACCATTTCCCCCTTGAAGATACTAAGAAAATGGCGTAACGTGGGTTACTTTTTTCTTTTTAAGCTTAAAAACTCTGGTGGAACTTGCACACAAGCTTATTTCCAGGCTGTTTTCCACAGACTAAGCCACTTTCCAATTCCTCTCCCTCTTCTACAGTTTGGATTTGAACTCATAGTCCTACCAAATCCTACATTCGGGGCGTGGAAGGAAATTTGAAAAGGCAGCACCTTCATGGGGGTGTCTGCCTTGGACAGAGTTGAGATTTCAGTTCTGTCCACTGGAAAGGCACACCTTGGGTCCAGGTGTAGGCCATGCGCAGAGGGGTCAGAAAAGTCAAGATGGTGGCTGCAGCTGCACATAAAAAAGGGCCAAGGCTTCAATCTCAGGGTTGCCCCCACCATCTTGACTCTTGCAGATGCTCAACCAGATGTTTCTTTCCTGCTAATGGCTCTTCCTCCTTCCAAGTGCTAGCTTCCCATTGTGGCTTCCGCTCTCGACCAAACTCCTGATGTCTTGCAAACACTGCATGTTGGTGCAGGACCTGGCGTTCCTTCATATGCCTTTCCAATTGTCCCCCCCCCACCTCTAACTGACAGCATCTTCACGGCATCGCCCAGCTGTCGTCGAAGTCCTATGGGGGATCCCCTCCAATCTGAAAAAACAGCTTGGCAGTTACGGGGGTCTCCTCCCCTTGCCAAGGAGTTCATCTCTGTGTACATGAAAACTCAAGCCTCGCCCTCGGTCCCACGAGAGCGCCGTGGTTTATACGTATTGATTACACGCTTAACCACAATTTGCGTTTCTGCTATGTCTCTTCTCCCCTCCAAGGGGGGTCGTAGAAACCCAAGGTGCCCTCCCTGCTGCTTGTTGTTCGGTGGACTCTGCTCTGAGAAGCTGGCGACGGGAGGGAGGGAGCAAGGAACATTTCAGCCTCTTTTTTAAATCTTCCGTAGCAATAGAGATAAGACAGCGGGTTAGATGAGAACAATTTAATTAAGTCGCAGAAAGGTCTCTGAGTGGGCACTGCCTGAAGATAGGCTGCCCCCTCGGTGCAGGATTGATGGCCCTTTTCAGCTCGTTTCCCCCCTCCTCCCCTGCAATTGGAAATTAAAAACCAGAATTGGAATTAAAAACTATCAAACACTTTCTTTGCCGGACCCGGTCAGCACGAGCGATGCCAGCCGTCCTCCTGGGGATGTGGGCTCTTTTTATTATGGAAGGATAATCGAGGCTCCGGGTTCCAGTGGTTAGATAAATAAGCAACTTTGCAGGGCAGGGTCGGGATGAAAGAAAGGACCCATTAAAATGGATTTCTCTGCCGACATTTCTCAGTAGGGCTGGGTTTTTCCTGTACGTTTGGTCCTTTTCTTCCT